CCCCCCCCCCCCCCCCCCGCCCCACGTTCGCCGAGAAGAAAGTTGCCAGGCTACGACCACAGATCACCTCACCCCCTGCAGCGCATGCATACGAAGACAGATACGGATATACATGACACAGAGAGGCTACTCAGAGAATTCGGCGTCGAGCGCCCACTGTCTGCACTGCTCATACACAGAGGAAAGAGAGAGAGCGGTTTCACGTAATGCCCTAGGCGGCCCGACGGCCTAATCCCATGTTCGTCCGGCATGCAACACGGAGCACGCAACACGCAACATGCATGGGGCCAGTGGACAGGTAGAGACGGCAAGATACATGGTGGACACGGAACATTGCATGTACGTCACCCCGAGAGACAGCCGGTGCGGTGTGGCTATCCGATGACGTGCGCATCACACTACGGCGCGACACGCGTATATGCACCCGTTGTTCGCTAGCCAATGTAAACCGACCGGTCAACCACACATATGCCTTCGACACGGACACAAACACGAAGGGAGCAATGGGTGCGTCCGCGGGCAGCAGGGTGGGCGCTGCTCCACTCTCCTACGGCGGGGAGTGGCGTGGCGGGAGGCAGCCAGCCAGCGAACACACACAAGGATCTTCCCCGAAAATCACCATAGAAGAACCTCAGAAAGGCCCACACCATGAAAGTCACCATAGCAACACTCACTCACTACGCAACGCCCACCCCCCCTCCCCCCCATAGGTCTACACCACTACACACTCATACACACCACAACGCATGCACGCCACTCCCACACGTATACCAACGAAACACAAGCAATCCATCCCTCATCCTAGTCCCAGACACACGCACACATACACAATGGACACACACATCGATGCAAATCAGCAGAGAGGCCGGTGAGTGGGTGAGGGGCTTAATGTGGTTGCCATATCATCAGTCTCAGAATGAAGTGGCTGAATGAGCTATCGGTGTGATCTCTGCTATGGCATGCGTGCTTCTTTTCACTACCGGCTTATCCGCGTCTTATTGATGCTATGCAACAGCCACAGCGACATACATCAAGAACCGCACGCCAACAGCAGCCAACGAGGGGATGAAGACACCACATGAGCTGTACATCGGCTATCCCCCTGATGTCAGCCATATCCGCACCTTTGGCTGCAAGGCACACATCAACCAGAGAAAGAAGACGATCGGCAAGATGGACCCTCGCATATCTGCACATGCACGCGTCGACGTGGAGTGTGTGTATATTTTGAATGTCTCTGTGTGCACACCTGCACGCGGCGACTTGGAGTGTGTATATATGCTGAATGTCTGTGTGCGCACACCTGCGCATGCACGTCTGGACTTGGAGTGTGTATATATTTTGAATGTCTGTGTGCGTAGACCTGCGCATGCACGTTTGGACTTGGAGTGTCTGGACGTGGAGTGTGTGTATATGATGAATGTCTGTATGCGCACACCTGCGCATGCACGAGTCGACTTGGATGTGTATATGATGAGTGTCTCTGTGCGCACACCTGCGGATGCACGTCTGGACGTGGAGTGTGTGTATATGATGAACGTCTTTGTGCGCACACCTGCGCATGCACGCATCGACTTGGAGTGTGTGTACTGTTTTCTTCTTCACTCCCTTCAACTTGACTTCTCTCAGAGTAGAATAAGAAGCCACCACCATGATATCATACTGATTGTAACGCTTCTTCTCATGAAGACACGTTAAAAAGTGGCCCCTCCACGGATTGACGGATTCCCGACAAGAATGACATGCCGCTGCAGGCATGGAGAGAGGACGATAGTGTGAAGTGAGATATGATAACTGCATTCCGGCTTTTAATTTGCACCTCAGCTGCAATTGCACGATATGCCTTCATAAAACCACTTCTCAATGAATGGTCTTGAGGCGGATTCTCTGTGAGTCTGCTGGCTAGTTTGGAGAAGGCAAAGCCTAAGGGTGTGTCCACTTCCCAGGAGTCCATAGACCTACAAAAGATGCTTGTTTCAGAGTTATAAGTCTCATTGTCCTGCCTGCCCTCCTTATTGGACTTGACAGCTTATTTCACGTAGATCAACAAAAGATGCTTGTTTCTGAGTTATAAGTCTCATTATCCTGCCTGTCCTCCTCATCGGACTTGGCACACTTTGAAGTTGTTCAGGTGTTTTCTAGTGCGTTGTTGTTGTACAGCCCATTTTGGCTTACTTCCTTGTAACTCTCTCTATTTTCCACTTCCGATGAGTTCCATAGATCATGCAGAACAAGTTTGTTTCAGGGTTTAGGGCTTTCTCTGGCCTTACCGGTAGACTACAAAGGCAAGACATAAGGATGACTTCAAGAGGTAGAGAGTGAGTCACTTGAGCAGAAGGGGAACCTCGCAGTATGCCTCGAGTTACATGTACAAATGAAGAAGGTGCATTCATACCTTGAAGGTGCCGATCGGACGGACCGATCAATCAGCAAAAGAAGAGGCAAGACAGACTAGATTAAAGTCCCCATGCAAGGCAGACGCCAGAACCAGAAGGGTGAGAGAAAAAAGAGCCTCCACAGTAGAAAAAGCCAATGCATACTGCCCATGTACGTGCAGAGAGGGGATCAAAGTAAGCCAGGAAAGGAGGGAGGGAAGAGAGAAAGACCATCACAGGACAAAGTGGCAGAAAAAAGCGAGATCAGTGATTGTTGACCAAAGAGCTTCTGAATACTGCTGAATACTGCAGACTGTGGTGGTCATACTCTCTCGCTCTCACTCATGCGCTCTTCGTTCAGATACTCACTAACTACAAACACCCCGGCACACACTTAACACTTAAGAGAAAAAAGAGCTCACTGAGGCAATCACATACAGAAAGCCTACCTTACAAAGAAAAAATGACCTCCTTCCTTGTGGAAACCAGTCGGTCTACACTCCTTTGAACCACTGCATTAGTTGTATGATATTCTGCCCAACGACACATACAACAAAATACGAGACATGACATGACCAAGCCAGGTTTTGCTCGCCTCTTTATCTATAGAGAATCCGTGAGGCATCCTTACCGCGTTGGTCAAATCCCTCACATAGTCGCTCAAGAGACCGATCACTTTCTTCCTGATCGCTTTCCTCAGTGCCCGCTCATAGTCGCACGGAAAGTGGTCACACACACAATTTCAAATGAAGACGCGCGTCACGATCCGGAAGAACGACTCGGACAAAAGGCTGCACTGGAGTTTGTGAAACCAGACCAGCCAAACCAGGATCCAGTTCGAGTAGTATGAGTGCTCTCTCTCGATTTCTTGGCGGTCAGCGATGGTCTCGCGCGTCATGCCCGAAATGAAGCGCTTGCTCTTGTGGTGCTTGTAGCCCCAGTCCATCAAGGGAAGGCGAGTGACGATGTCACTGTCATTCACATACCGCAGGCATATCTCCCCAAAGAACCTATTGAACCTCGCGATATACGACTCGCCACCGACGCGCGGCTGGCCGAAGGTACAAATGCCCTTCACTCGGTCCTTAAGCTCTTCGTCCTGCAGGGTGAGGGAATGGGCGTACACGGAAGCCAGTGCACCCCCCAAGCTGTGCCCCGTGATAAAGATATGCTTCGGCTTCGGATTGTCTCCTTCAGTCTTGGCCAAGGCCTCAGGCGTGGCCAATTCTCTCAGCTTTGCATTGAGGAGCTCGCGGACGCTTGGCTTTTGACAACCTGAACGCCCCTCTAACGCATCCTTGAAGCCTTTATGAACATAGACCACTTCCCCTTCAGTCCCCTCTTGCAGCCTGACGACCTCCCAGGTGACCTGCGCGTCAGTCCACCACTGGATGAGGCTAAATGGCATTGTGCCGCGGAAGATGACAAGGTGGCAGTTGGCGTTGCTGATCAGATAAGCAGCGGTCTCGTAAGGGACCTCGTCCTCGCCACACTTTGGAGACAAAAATACACCGTCAAAGGTCCATCCCCCCCACTTCTTAACGATCGCCTTCACAACATCGCAGTGCTCGTAGGCCAGCTTAGCGCAGAGGCTCGCAAAGTGGACATTGTTGGCGTCATCGAATCCTTTTTCTCCTGAGAAGAGGCCCTCGGCATCGTCATAGGGGAGGCCGCCAATGAAAAACTCCGTGTCACACACATTGACCAGCGAGTAGTTGTAGGTTCCATCGGTGGGCAACTCTTCGAATGCATCCTTGGGAAATGGGACGAACAGTGCAAAAAACCGTCTGAAGTACTTCGCATCACGCGTCAGCCGAGTGGGTAGTCCTGACAGTCGCGCAAGCATCACCAGTAAGTTGACGAGAACATAGCCCACGAGCCATCGCACGAAGTCCTGCATGCACACACATGGAGAGAAAGGGCATAGTTGACAACCCCGCCATGAAAGCATGCGTCTGATCATCTTACCTGATATTTCTTCGGGGAGATGGCCTTCACGATGGCCTTCACCAGTACGATGATACTGGCAATAAGAAGCGCATCCCGGACGTACATAGCTGGCTCCTGCATGGGCAGGGGAACACAAAATTGACAACTTTCTTCTACCCTTTTCCTTCCCTGACGCCTTGCTCGCCTCATCATCTCCCTCCCTTCACCTCATCCTACCTTATGTGCTTCCTTCCAGTAACTGGCAATTTCCGAACCCATGGTATGGATGCATGCCACTAAGGACAGGAACGGCATGTGCAAATGGGCGACCAGGAACTTAGCAATCGCCATCACCAACCACACTTGGAACTTAGCAATCGCCATCACCAACCACACCGTGATGGCGATGAGAATCACTTCCAAGAGTCCTCCTAACATGACTGCACGCTGCAGAACCACACACGAAAAAATATGGCAAAGGTGTATAGATGCACTAGAGTCTGACGAATGAGCATCGCCAATCCCGCCCCCCTCTTGTGCCAACCGATGGCCTCTCACCTGAGATCTCGTGCCTTGATGGGTTCAGTTTTCCTTGATGGGTGAGAAGGAGGTGAAAACAAAACGATCCCACGCTCGGGAATGGATAGTGTGCGGCTCAAGAGGTGAAAGGATGGGTGAGGAATGAAGGTGCTCTCCGGATCTCGGGTGCCCCAAAGCGAGCCTGCCCCAAAGCGACGCGCCCTCTTGCGCGATCGCCGTGGGGCACTCGCAGATTGCTTGAAAAGAAACTCACTTCACGACGGGCTTGAAGACCTCCGAACGCCTCGCCCTCCTCATCTCGACGTCCGTCAACGGTCTGCGATGCTCAATGCGCTACATACATCTACTCCCGCGGGCCCTGAGTGAGAGGAGGTTGAGAGGGAGAGGGGGTGATGACGGAGGGAGAGGAGAGGGATGGAGGGGATGAGGGGACAGTGTGTATATGCACTTACAGACGCATTTGATATTGGACAGGCTTAGCCAGTACGAACGAGGAGCGATAGATGTTGCGGCCAATGTCGGAGAGTGGCGAGCGATATATACTTGGGGCCTCAAACCAAACTGAACAGGAAGGACACACAGTAAGTAAGCCCTGTAAGAGGCGCACACACGAGTGCATGATGAAATGGATGCGTAGCTTGGCTTCGATAGATATACCTGTTTCTGTCTGTTTACTCCTTCTGCAGCACTATATTGGTCCGGTCACACACGCTACTCTAATACGACATTCGCGCGTGTGCATGTCGGACAGTTACAGAAGAGAGAGACTTTCACGCGTAGCGCAATGTCAGGTAGAGTCTGTCGGTCCGACATGAGACGAAATAGATAAAGTCCATCACTCAACGCTCACTCAGCGACAAACATGCCAGCCCCATCCGCAGCGCCCGCCTGGCGGATCTGCCAGTGGCGCCGACTACCACGCACACACAAACTAGCACTACGCGCCAACGCAACAGACAGATGGACACGCACCCATCCCATCACCTGACCATACGAGTTCTCTTTCCAGCCAGACCGTGTACGCAACTGCTCAACCTGACGGCCAAAGAACATGTTCGCTTCTCTCCTCCACACCCCATCCACCGTGACACACAGAGGGGTGAAGTGGATGGATCGGCCTTCGCACAGGTGCTTGGTCTTTTTGATTTGGCGGCCTTGTCGAGGACGATGGGAGTCGAGTGGTTGCGGTTGCGGTAGGGGAGCGCATCTGCGTTTTTCACGCACAGGTCAAATGCTGCGTCCCTCTGCACCCCCGCCTGCCCGTCTTCCTCGCCGGGCTCCACCAGCACGGCCTCCTTCTTGACAGCTGGCTCCCCCCACGCCATGGCGGAGACGTCGCACAGCTACATGTTCGTGGTTTCTTCAATGAATGACGCCTGGTGCACGTTCGTGACCATCTGAGGCAGTGAATCGTTCTTCGCTTGGAACATCTTTCTTGGCCTTGCATGCATGCATGAGGGGGGGATGTTTGCTCTTCCACGTGTATTTGTGCACCTCAACACACATACATGCATCTTTTCTCGATTGACTCCTTTTTCACCCGTACCCAGCTGGGCTTCTTGGATACACGATACACATCTGTTCACCAGTAAGCCGCGTTGCATTGGGGGGAAAGGCGGGGCCATCATATCGCTCGCAGCTAGCCGTGCACTACTGGTCTGTTTCTTTTCTCATTCGTCCATGTGTGTCGCGTGTCATGCATGTGTCGTGAGGCCGTGCGTGTGTTGTGCGTGTGGCTGTGCTGTCTGCCGGTCTGTGTGACGAACCGGTTGACTGGCTGCAGTTCTTCGTTCACACATGCATTTCTGACGTCGTGCATGCAGTGCATGAATGTGCGTAAGGTAGGCTACCATGAAGACGAAAGGGACGGAGGGAACAAGGGGAGACATCAGTATGGGCCATGGGGACATGCATGGGAATGAGAACACCGATATGAACTATCAACGCATACGACATCGAATTCGGCCAACACAAGCTGTCAAGTCCATTGAAACGACCCCCTTCTCCTACATTTTCGACCTTTAAAAATTAGCTCGCGTGGCATTCCTCTATTCTATTATAGCATTGACACAAACATCGAATTCGGCCAACACAAGCTGTCAAGTCCATTGAAACGACCCCCTTCTCCTACATTTTCGACCTTTAGAAATTAGCTTGCGTGGCATTCCTCTATTTTATTATAGCATTGACACAAACAATCTTCGGCTTAACCACTACGACCACTTCTGTTATAGCAAAGGCACGAAAGACTCCATCGCAGAGGCTCGCTCATCTGTGCAATCGCTTCTTGGTGATTTTTCCGATCTTCAAGCAGAGACTGATCGGCCTTTTGCTGTCTCCGATTTGGATTTTCAGAGACCATAAGGCTTGCTATCCTCACAATGTGTGGTGCACGAAGCTGAATATCACAACAACGACCACGTTGGTTCACATGTGTATAATCAGACAGTCACCATTTACCTCACCTCCTCCTGCACAGTCAGGTTGACTATCGACGCAAGCTTGACCTCAAAATTGTTGGCATCAGCCAATTCCTCCACTTCACCTGGTATGGGAAGGGCCACATTGTGAACACGCAAAGCAATTTATGAATGATGACTTCATCTTGTCACTCCGCACTGTGAATGGCGTACCTCCCCTTGCCGTAAAGCGCCATCATAACTTGCTCACGCTCTTTGTCAGGGATGTACTTCTCAAAGATGTCTTCAACAGAAGTCATGGGCATTGTGCTGTCGACACTTTTGGCTGTCTTGAGCGCTTCATTGCTGCCCATCTCACTGCTGGCGAAGATGTTGTTCACCAGGACAGGACCATCAACAGTAGAGTCAGATCATCAACACCCACCATTGCCAAGCATCACGTGCATGACATCTCCCACCAGCCCAAGAGCTCAGCGCTATTCCGTGCCAACTATCTCGCCCT